GGGGAATGCTGCGTCACAGAGTGACCCAAAATCTCGAATGTCGTTAGTAGAAGTAGCTGGTATCCACCTTTTTCCCAACTTCTCTCCATTTTTTAGACCTCAGCCATAAGCTATGGATATATGTATGTGTACATATGCACGTATGTATGTCCATACATGCATATGCGCCTTATGCACTTGCGATATTTCACATTTCATTTGCAAAAATTTACAAAAACGTGCCACCATCCGCGGTTCCATAATACTAATTAATATTTAAATCCAATAGGCGTCTAGAGACTGGCCAACATTTAGTATATAAAACATTGTACTTGAACAACATACTTCCCCAAAGATAACGTCTCAGATATTTACTAATGCTGTAGAGATTTGAGTTGTAAGTTGAGTATGAAATCGTCACCGCTTCAAGGCAGGAATCAGAACTGCCAAGAGTGACCAGGTGCACTCTAGCACAAGTCCGTTTGGGGTGGTGTCACCGACTCCACAGTTACCTCTCCCGGTTGAATTCACAAGTGGCAAACACCTGCCCGCACGTGGGCAAGGTTTCCACGACACCCAGCATCTCTTCACATGCACCTTCAACCCTACGACCCTGACACCAGAAGCGCTCTGGACCGCGTCTATCGACGTTGCCCGCTTTCGCGGCCTCAGGCTTACAGAGTCGGAGGATGAAGACGACGTACATGACAGCACCTGGGGGGTTGAGCACTGTTGCTACAACCACTACAACAACCGCTTCCAGGCACTAAAATTGTGTATTTTGTAGTTGCAAAAATCGTTTATTATGTATTACATACCTGCAAAAAAAAAACGAAAATATTTGTATAAGATAAAAGTGAAAACATTAAAGTGGAATTTCATTAATTACCCCTAATATCCCGCTGCTTTCAAATAATTTACACATGTAGACAGCAAAACAGATGCATGTAAGTATCTTAGAGCAGCTGAATTCCGAATGCAACGGACTTTGATGGTGGGGGAGAGTGCAAGAGCAGCAATGCATCAGCGAATTTAGTGCAGCAGCCTGCAAAATTTGTTATTGTTTGTCTCGTTTGTAGCCACCATACACTCACAGGCAGGCATACAGCTTTGCAAACTCAAAGATACACATCTGCGAATGCCAATTTGTGATTTTTTTTGTTTCAATACAATTCCATCGTCACTCCCCTATCCTAGCAGCAACAATAACCGACAAATCTATCGACCGCTGCCGCAGCAGAATCGGTAGCGGTGGCAGCAGCACAGCTAACGCAAGAATTTGGAATGCAAAGTTGACGCTCTGCTCTGCTCGTCTACCCCCTCACCGAGGACTATTTTAACAAACAAATAAATTATTGTAAGCTAAATAGCTACACTAATTTCACTTGATATTCACTTCGTACGCACACAAAGAGAAAAATACACTTTTTTGGATTTTCTAGCGCAAAAATTTCACGATTTGTCAACAGCGAGAGTGGAGAAAATCATCTGAAGCGATCGGACGAGCACAAATTAGCAAGTAACCAAGTATGTGTATTACCACCGCGACTCCGTCACCGACAACCGATACATTGGACTATATGAATCTCTGTGGCTTTTCTATACAATTTTATTAAAGTGTGTTTTTCTTTTAGTTAAGTGGTATGTGCGGAATTTGAATGGAATGTAGGCAATAGCGACATCAAATGTGCGGCGGCCATCGGATGCAACAGCGTAGATGTCAGCGTTGATTTTGCTTTGTGCTACCAAGAATTAACAATTGTCAATGGCGCTTTTACTTTACTTCCGATTTCCGAGTCATATGTCGGCTGGTGTGTGACTTGGCTAAATGATGTCGGTTTGGCAAGAATGTAGCAAATTGTTTTGGAATTTCTGCAAATATCCAAATTTTCGAAAGTTTTTAGAAAATAGACCTTTTTGTGGATGTTGGATAGGAGCTCAAAAATACTTTGCTCAATATGGCTTGCTGTATTTCTTAAAAATTCATTTCCTGATTGATTTGCTCTCTCATTCGTAATTCGCTTTCCCATTCGTCATTCGCCTTGCCAATTACCTTCCGAATTACGTAATTCGCCATACAAAATTTTGACAGCGAATTACCTCATTTGTAGATAATTTAGTTCGAAATACCATGCGAATGACGAACGAATCGGTGCTTTCTCTAATATTTATCGGAAATATATCAAAGTTTTCACCGGCCTGGTCCCATGTGCTGGCAGTTTTTTTAGTTATAGAATAATGTTAATGAAACATTCTCCATATAAATTAGAATTGTGGATGATAACCTGAATTGTAGATCCATCTTCGATATTTGCAGTACACAAAAATAATAATAAATAGCGAAGAACAAGAACAAGAACTAGAGCTGAAAAACGAATTACTAATGTGTGACGTGGAAACAGGGTAATTCACGAATTACTTTGCGAATTTCTTACAGAGCGAATTATGAAACGTGGAAACATCGTATTGCTTAACAAAACTGCAGCTCGTTCATGCAACCCTGGCTACTAAAGGTAGAAAATAATCGATATTTTCCGATAATATTCCACAAAGAGGTTTTGGGGCGTGTTGCTGGAGTAGCAGATCTTGACCAAATATAAATCTGAGTTGTTCCGGTTACGTACATATATATGTGTGTAGACCCGACTGTCGCGGGAACGTACTTATTCATAAACGAACTACACAAGATCACGCAAGAACAAGCGAGTGAAAGAAGATAGATATTTTGATCGAGTTCTACGCCAGCTTGCTTCGCTGGAAAACGTGCGAAAAGTAAACAAAACAAAGACAACAAACGAAAACCAAAATTAATGTCAGCTACTTTAAGCACACAATTTAAGTAAAGTGCTCATTAAAAGCTTTAAAATGTGTTGTCATGTTGAATTAACTCTTCTTTAGTTAAATAAAAGTGTAAAATAGTGGTGCTTCTGATGTAAATAAATGCTCATCTGATGAACCCGCTTTCACAAACTTTTTTCTCAAAACCAATACAAATACAACGTCGCGTTTTTGCGTGATCTTGTATTTTTGGTTAATGGTGCTTATTGGCAGTGTTGCCGCCGCTCAAAGAACTTTCTAACCAAGATTAGACGAAAAAGTTACCAAATGTAAGGAAAAATAACCATTTTTTTTATTAGATTAACAATTCAGGCCTTCACAAATTCTTTCATATAGTACGTACAGAAAAAGTTAACAAACCAAAGAAAATAAATTTTTATTTGCATTTTTGAAAAGTAAATCCTTTTAAGGCTGTTATATGTAATTACATATTTTAGAAAATCATTCTTCCCGTATTAGATGCATATGTATGAATGTTAATATCTTCGTAAACATTACCAGACTCCAAATGATGTTTTTAAATAAGTACATAGGTACACAGTTTCCAACTTCTTTGTAAGAATCAATAAAATACCTAATCAGCGTGAACATGTACAAGTATATATTTTAAGATTAAGATAAAACAATTAAAGATTGGACTTATTAACCTTATCCTCGCTCGAAATATACGATGGTAAATAAATTTTACAAATGCGCAAAACTGTGGAATGGTATTTACACTGAACCTACTTGCTATAACATTATTATTATTAATATTAACTAAAATTAATAAAGTACGCAGTAATGGAAAAAGAATAACCAAATCCCTTTTTTATTGTACATACAAGACGTGGTATTGGAGTCCGCATATACGAAGTACTTATATATGTACTATCTAAGTATGTATTCATTTGACGTAGTCTTTAGCCGACCATGTATATTATGTATTCTGTATATTATAAAACAAATAAACACATATGTAAGTAATATTAATACATTCATTCCAAATATTTTTACTTGGTTTTACTGCTGGGGCTGCCACTGCTGCTGCTACTCTCCTCAACCTCGGGAGGTGTAGCTGGCCTATGGCAATTAAAAACTACAGTAAATATTAAAAAATAACCAAAACGGGAAAGATCTTAACAACTTCACAGGCAAGAAAAAAATAACCAAGATTGGTTAAAAGTAACCAAAACGGCAACACTGCTTATTGGTCTTACTTTACAGCCGATAGGATGGATAGCTTGAAAATATCGATAGTATTTTTTGAGAACGCAAACAATTAATATATCGATAGTATCGTCGATATTTTTCCTCTGCTGCTGGCCACCAATCAGAAATTCTTTTGCACAGAGTCGCTCTGCTAATTCACGGGATTATAAAAGCAAGTGCAGCGCCGTTGGTGGAAGTGGCAGCAATTTGTCCAGCCGTAAATAACAAGAACCACTATTTACTGTATAAAACCCGCAGAAAGTTTGGAATTTGGTTAGAAAATGTGCAACATAAATTTTATTTAATAGCTTTATACAAAAGAATTGCTAGTGAAGTGTCCAAAAGTATTTAACACCTTGCATCGCCAGATGCGAAATTCCAGTGCACCGGGCGGAAAAATCAATTTTGAGGGCACTAGAAAGCCAAGCGCTAGTAGCTGAAGTAGTGGCAGTGACAGCGGCAACTTGCTGTGTTTATGTGCCCAGTTTTTAGACGTATCGGCGGGGTGGTGGAACCAGCAGCAGTAACACCAGAAAAGTAAAGAATACATCAGCACCCACGCAGAAAATCACTTGCGTGGAATTATTAATTGACTAGCAGCAGTAGCAGTAAGCGGCCGCAATCACCTACATACAACTTGTGTGTGAAGGAATAGCTAAGTAAAGGTAGGTGTTGGGTGCGCCGAGTGCGTAAATCAGTTGCAGAGTTAAATCAGTTGGGAAAAATCCAAAAAGGAGTCGTAGGGTAAAACAGGTGCACGATACGCGCGCACGCACCCACCATACAATATATTTATAAATACTGGGTGTAGTTGTTCACCGTTTGCAAAGCGGGTGTCGATGCTAGTGTTGCAGGTGTTAGCCGTCCGAAAAGTGCACTGGGAAAGTGTGTGAAATTGGAAGAAAAATAAGGCAGGTTGCTATTGTGCTGCATACGCCAACTGAGACGAGTTAGCTGCAAGCAAGCAAATCNGCACTGGGAAAGTGTGTGAAATTGGAAGAAAAATAAGGCAGGTTGCTATTGTGCTGCATACGCCAACTGAGACGAGTTAGCTGCAAGCAAGCAAATCGCCAGCCAGCCAGCCAGGCAACGCAGTCTAAGCGCCACATTTGTCAAGTTCGGTGTATTTGTTCGTGGCGCTGTGCCAAAACCGTCTTTCAAGGTCGTCGGCATTGGAGTGGGCAATAACCACAACGTAGTCGTCGTCTTCGTCAGCGTCGTTAAAGGCAGTGTCAGTGTCGAGCCACTCTCAAAATACAAAGTTATTTGGACGGGAAATAAAGGCCGGAAGTGTTTCAACTTTTGTGGTGACGGTTAGATAATAAATTCATAAAAAATGGCTATAAGCTTTGAGAAACATCGCGCACAAATCGTAGCCGCTTGGAAAGATGTACTGGACGATAAGAGCAGCACAAATTGGTAAGTTTGTGGGTAAAATAATTTTTGTTACTTCATTTTTTCAGCTAAATTTTTTTGTTTTGATATTTGTATTAACTATGTATATATGTACGTATACGGTTTATGTGATCAAAAAATGTTAGCTGCGGAGAAATTTCCGTTAACCATTCACTTCTTTTGTATTTACAAGCAACTTTCTTTTGGCTTTTGTTAAATGTTATAAAAACATCTAGGTATATATTTACATACTTGATTAGTGGCAGAGATTTCTAAGCATTTAAACCACATTTGTACATATCTGTGTTGTTGTTGTTGTAGCAGCATACAAGTTCCCCAAAGTCCTTGGCCAAATATAAATCTGGGTCGTTCCGGTTACGTAGACCCGACTGTCGTGCGAACGCTCATATTTATGTTCGTATGGAATAGAAGCTTATGTCGAGAAGCTGGCTTTATTTTAATGCGGCATTCCCTTTATCCTTTAAACGACACGGAATTTTTTTGATAAGACTTAATAAGTATATTGACTTGCTAGTATCGGAACTATTCCTTGCACGTTTATTTGCCAAAAGTTCTTCAACACCACAGTGCCACTGAGTTATTCGCAATCGTATGCTGCGAATGCCGCATTATACTAAAGCCAGGCTTGCGACATATTCTACTATTCCATATGAACACAGATATGTACATATGTACTTAATTGCATTCTCATGAGTCAACTACAAGAAATATGCATATATGTACATACTCACATATGTATGTAGGTATACATTTGTGCGCTAACATATCGCACACCGTCTTCAAAAGAGTCACAACGCAAAATAATATGTTCGTCAGAAAATGCGAAAAACTATTTCGTAGCACATGCTAATCATATGGGCAAGGGTGACTTTACCTTAGGTTTTTTTTAAACAAATTATAACAAAAATTTGCTCGAAGCTTTTGCTGAAAAGTAAATAAAAGCTCAAACTACATTTTTAGCGCATAATTTCAAAAATGCCAAATTTTGAGTTGTGCCTTTTGAAGACGTTGTGCGATATGCAAGAGTAACCGGTAGAAGTGTCAAAAGTAATAAAAAATAAGTTTTATTTTGAATCACAGATTGCAGCTTTTGCTATAAACCTAAAGATGTGTGGACATTTATAAGTATTTGTGTATGTACGTAAGTGCATTGTGCTTATTAGCTCAGACGCATCTTTACAAACGTTTGCACTTTGTGGTAATAATATACAGTCATTTGGTAGAAGTATTTTATTAAGTATGTACATACTTTGTATAGATGTTAAATATGGAGTAAAGGTATGATGCAATACAAATTATTCAAAGGTTGTTCGACTTTAAAGATTTTGTTCAGCTTAAAGGAAATGTTGCTAAATTTCCTCACTCGAAACTGCATAATAGACCTTTTTCTTAGGTTTTCAGACCTTCATATACATTTACCCGGACTATTGAGGTAGCCAATATCTTGTAGAAACGGCTTAAACCAAAACCTGTTTATTCTGGAGCGCTAGCTATAATAACTATAGCATTATGATTTCATTCTAAATAACGTTACTAGTAGAATTTCGAATGAGTTAACATATGCATATGTATGTATGCATGTCTAACTGCATGGACAATCTCATTTCACATGTGTGAAAAAATCTCGCACTGCGACTAACTTTCTGGCATGCCAGCATTGCAATAAAACGAAAATTGTGAGTTGTGACAATGTCTACGACTACTAAATGACCCCCAAGTGGCAATAGCAGTAAACTCGCTAACGAATGGAGTTATGGTATACTTCTCTTTACAGCCGGCATAGAAGTGGAGCGTTGATGTATGTTTTATACGAACATATTTATGTACATATGTACATACAGCATGCATATGCTAATACCCTCTTTCCTATGCAAGTATGTTACTTGTATGTGCGACTGTATAATACATAGTGTTCAGTTGTATGCCATGTGAAAGTCAGTTGAGTTTTAATTAACTCTCCTAACAGTTTAGTTGTGAATTTGAAAATTTGTTGTGCATTTTTTTCACAACTACTGCTTCAATGTTCTCATGTCCTCCTTTTTTCATTCATTACCACTAATATTCGTTTTTTTTTTACATTGCCTTTTTGCAATGCTGCAAGCATACGAACATGCAAAGCCAGCAAGTGTGTGAATTGTAACCGAGCTGCTTCTGCACAAAATTTAATTATGCCACAATTAATGCCATCTTCGTTGCTAGTCAATGCCTTTTGTGCCCTTTCGAGTGCTGATTGTTGTAATTGAGTATTTTGCTTTCTCGTTTAAAATGAAATTACTTACTTTTACATATTCACTTCCACTGTACTATGCACTATATTCTTTGTTATTACACAGGTCACTTTATGGCTACGAAGGTCAAACGAATGAACTAAAGGTTGTGGGCAGTGGTGAGGGTGGAGTCGAAGAACTCTGCGAGGATTTAAATAGCGGCAAAATTATGTATGCTTTTGTGCGCATCGCAGATCCGAAAACGGGCTTGAAAAAGTTTCTACTCATCAACTGGCAGGTTAGTGAGCAGTGGAGGAGTTTTTATGAAAATTTTTAGATACAAATTTTTTTAATAAAAATACATATGTAAATACATAATGCAAAAATGTAAAAAAATCGTGCATTATAATTAATTTTTGCACTGGAACTGGATTACCTAAATTGTATCACGAATTGCTAAAAATTAAAAGATTAAAAAAAAATTTAGAAGCCCATAAAAAATGAATTCAAATTAAGAAATTGGAATTGGAAACAATTTTTTTTTAATATATGTTTTAAATTTTAAATTAAAAAGAAGATGTAAAAATGGAAAAACTTAAAAAATAAAAATAAAGAAGCAAAGTAAAGAAATAAAAAATAGAAGATGCAAAATAAAGTAAAAATTAAATAACGCAAGAAGAAACAAAATTAAAAAAACCAAAACAAAAAAAAAACTAAAAAGTAAAATAAAATTCAAAATGAAAAAAATTTTAATAAAAAAGTTTAAAAGAAGTCAAACAACTAATAATGAAGTTTTACTATGCTCATTCCTTTTTTTGTTTTTGTATGTTACCCATTTACCTATGTATATAGGCGAATCCGAGAAATAGTCAACCAAAAACACAAAAATGCATGCAATTCGAATTCTCTCGTTTTTGTGTCACAAAGGCATAGTACAATATACTTTAATTTCATATTTCTTCTCACATTAAATGCTTAGCTCAGCAAAATTTTCGAGAACTTTGATGCTTTAGGAATGTACATATGTATGTACATTAGACATGGTACGTTCACAGTTTATTGGGAATATGCCTCTTCCGACGACTTTCCGTGTTATCAAAGTTTTGAAATATACACTTTTTTTGTTAACACCAATGACGCTGGCCGCGATAAAGCTTATCTTTACCAATATTTTATGTTTGCCTTTTTCATATCTTATTGGCACTTGAGCTTATATTAAAAATATACATTTTAATCTTGTTTCTCCTTTTTAAATTTTTTATCGCCCTTTCCTGCTGCAGGGTGAAGGCGCGCCGGTGTTGCGCAAGGGAACTTGTGCCAATCACATACATGATGTCGCCAAGCTACTTTCCGGCGCCCATTTGACAATAAATGCACGCAATGAAGATGATATCGATTTGGAGCGACTGGTCAAGAAGTTGAGCGCCGTGAGCTCAACGTATAGCTTCAAAGAGCCCCGCGGCCTGCCGGATGAGCAGAAGACACCTGTTGGCACAAATTATACTCGCGTCATACCTACGAAGGAGCTGAATCCAAGTGTAATGCAAGATTTTTGGAAGAAGGAAGAGGAAGAGGAGAAGCGACGCATTGCTGCCGAGAAGGAAGCAAAGCGACAGCAGTTGCTCAAACTCGAGCAGGAGCAGCGTACACGCGAAGAGAAAGAGCATTTGGAGCGTGAGAAGAAAGTTATTAGCACGTCTAAGCTACAGCCGGCGCATGTGCCGATCAAAACGTAAGTGAAACTATAAAGTAATAGAAAGTAATTTATAAAATAATACTCCAATGTACTCCAATTTTTACGCACATTTCGTTTCTCCAGTTCTCCACAGCCCCTAAGTCCGGAGAAAACTGTTGCCAGCAGCTTCACTGCCGGCATGACTGAAGCCGAGCGCATGCGCCAGCAGCGCAATCAGGAGGCGCGGGAACTGATTGGTTCCCGTGTCATTGCCGCCAAAGCAATTTTCACCCAAAACACAAGTCAAGGCCAGTTGCAAACAAAGTAAGTTTCCCAGTTCATTCATTTTTCTTTAATCATTGAAAATATTTCCTTTTTCGCAGATTGAACACAGCGCCACCTGCCAAACCTGCGCGCACATCCATAGCGCAACGCATCAACGCCTTTAACCAGCCACAATCAGCTGAACCGGAACCACGCAAACCCTCACCTACACCCGGTAAAGTCGCTCTCTCGAAATTCGAGGATATTGCCGTCACCAATAACGGCATCCAACAGCATCAACCAACTGTGCATACCACACACCGTGCGCCCTCGCCAGCCACAGTCACTGTGCCCACTCCCATACTTGCTCACCATCACCAATCCCAAACACAGGTGGTCGAACCAGTTGTAGGAGTAGCAGCGAAAGCGGCGGTTGTAATGGCGCCCGCGACTGTCGCGACAAATGCACTAAATGAAGAGGAGGTGGAGGTGGAGCAACCTGTCAAACCGGAAATTACCGCCATTGCCAATAACGATGACGTACCCTCGGGGCAGATGACTATGCTGCCGAAAATGACGAACAATATTCCACTATAAAACGTTCACCACATAGTAAATCAAATTCATTACAATCACCAGAGACTTCATCCTCCAATGCGACCGATACGGCGCTCTATCAGGATCAAGATGATGAGGGCGAGGAGCTGGAAGAGGAGGAAGTGGTGCGCACAAAAGTGTCGGTTACGGTGCAACAACCACAATCGGCTAAAAATGGACTAGGCAGCGCGTTGGATAGAAATGATTGTAAGCTTGTGGCTTTAGGTGATTGCTTCGAAGGGAGTTTTATGAATTTCTTTCTTGTGCTTACAGTGACTGATTTGGTTAACGAGGATGACTTCATCTGTCAGGAGTCACTGGGTGACGTTGGACTGAAAGCAAGAGCTTTATACGATTATCAAGCAGGTATGTGTGGTTATTTACTATGTTAGCATCTAATGCCATAAATAGTCAGATAACACTGGATCACAAATTTTAGTTTTCCAGACGCTACTATTCAATTGCAATGCAGAAATGCTCGGTGATTCCCGAAAATCGAGTAATTTGTTTTTCTATGGATACGTTTTCGAGATATTTGCAATTTACCGTGTCAGGTTCTACGTAATCACGTATACCTTACGCACCAATTAAATAATCGTAATTCGAAAGCCAATGCAATTCTCTATAAACCGCATATACATAACTTTTCGATAGGCCTGATAGTTTCTGAGAAATTAAATAATAACTGCAGATCTCTTTTTTTTTTGTTTGATGAAAAAGTTAAAAAAATTAAAACTTTAAGAGGGGAAAAATAAAAAAAAACGAGCGGCTTGTTTTTTTTTTATTTTTACGTACGATATTATGTACGATTTTATGTGCGATAATAATAAAGCCTGCCGATAACTTCGAAAAGTAACATATACATAAGTTTGATACATATTCATGAGAACATCGATAACAACTTCCATGAAAATATCAATAAATGCGTTATAATCATACCGGTAATATTTCGNAACGATATCGCCAAACTTTATATCGATTTATAATAAGGGTTTAGATTAATAAATTTATCGATAGACTTACCGTTGAAGTGGTCGAGGAGAATTTCGATATCAATATCGATTAATATATGAATATCTTTCCTTTCTTGAAATATTCCTTCATCAAATACATAATAATCGATAAATTTTCAATATTAAAATAAATTTGCGAAAATTATCTTTAATTTTTCTATTCACAGCCGACGAATCGGAGATTACTTTCGATCCGGGCGACATCATAACGCATATCGATCAAATCGATGAAGGCTGGTGGCAAGGGCTCGGACCCGATGGAACTTATGGACTGTTTCCGGCAAATTATGTCGAAATTATTAACTAAACGAAAATAAGGGAATTAATTATACACAAGCAACAACCATTATTGCAACAAAAAATGTAAGCGAAAAAAAAACAAACAAAGACACGAAATTGATGATTCAGCAACTTTACAGTTTTACTTATACTTTTACAAATGCGAATAATTGCAACAAAGGAAAAAAAATTATAGTAGTACACCCAACAAATGAACAAAATAATTGAAATTCAACAACTATACTCACCATTGCCGCTCTTAAAAATAAAAACACACACCAAATTCATTAGAATTCGAAATTCAGGCACAGCACAATTTAATTTTTTTTATATAAATGAAATCTTTGAGAGAGAAAGAGAGCAAGAGGAGGTTTTAGAAACTCTTAATACTACTGAAGCAATTGAATTCTTATGCATTTTTATAGCAACATACTTACATTTTTACTCGACTTTTGACTGCAACCACAAACTAAGAAAATCACAAAACTTGAAGTAAAAAACCCAACCAAAAAATTAGACGAAATTTTCTAACGTAAAATTTTATACGCACTCCTACACACACACACAACCACACATAAAATTTTTGATGCATTTTTAAAAAATTTTTTCTATACTCTATGATCAAAAAAAGATTTGATTATAAAAAATAAAAATTGTTAGCCTAAAAAAATGCAAGCCGAGTACATATTTAAACGCAAAAAATATTCAAAAAGCAAAAACAGTGGAAAAAATACTTTTCAGTGCCAAGCTGTGTAAACACCACATAAATACTACATTCAGAATAACCGATTGCGTTCAGTAAACGAGATTATATTTATTAAAAAAAAATTTATATAAAATTAATAGTCTATGTTATTTATTAAAAAAGTAAATTGTAAATTTGTTGCCTAAATGTTATCAGTCAGAAATCGTTTATCGAAAATAATGGAAATTGTATGAATATTTGCATTTTTGTTGTGTGATATGCCAGTTAAAACAAAATTATTTTAGTGTTGGCGTGTTCTTTTGTAATGAAATGCATTTTCAATTTTAATTTGCTTTAGAAGAATGTAAAAAGAAAAGACCAAGGCGCGCTTGCTTTTTGAAACTGCACAATTTTAACTGAAAACAGTTTTTAGAAACAAAAAAGTTTGAAATACTTTTCTAAAAAAAAAATTTGAAGTTTAAAATAAAAAAAAAAAATTCTATACACAAATTTCCTTTATATAAATTAAAACTTTGAAAACTCAAGTTTTCTTTTTCATTAAAAATGTGATCTACGAAGTTTTTTGCAGACAAAAATAAAGTTTGGTTAGCTTAAAACTTAAAATAATATCCATTTAAATTATTCATTAGGTAAACTCAGAGATCGTAAAGGCTTCGATTGTCCCCTGCATTAACGACAAAAAATAACGATTAAATTGTACTGAAAAAAAATTTAACGCTTTTTGTTGTCCTACATTCAAAGATGTTTGAAACCTAAGTTTTTTGAAACTGAAAATAATCCTAAAAATGGTTAAAAAATTTTAATTAAAAAACCCCCATTTTTTTTTTTCTTGGACTAATTTTAAAATTTTGCGATTTTTAACTCAAATATTTTTTCAAACTTGTCCTATTTGAAACTGAAAACATTAATTTTTTTTTGAAGCTGACAAATAAAATATTTTTAATTAAAATTTTTAAGGAATAAATGTAGTATTTTTTTGTTTAAAAAAATTGCTGTTAAAAAATGTTTTAATTTTTGTTTCGAACTGTAAACTCAAAATACAAAAAAATTTAGTTAAAAAATAATAAAATGTTATTATACTTCTTTTTTTTTGATATAATAAAGCATTCAAAAATTCTTTTAAATAAAATATTGCTTTAAAACTTTGAATTTCTATCTGAGACTTTTCAGTTTACAATTTTTACTTTCAAATATTTTATACTTTTAGTTATGAAAACTTTAAACATCAGAAACGAAATATAAAATAGAGAAAAGCTATTAAAAATCCAATTTAACTGAAAAATGATCGTTAACTCCTCTCCATATGACTTTCAAGCGAGCGTAATTGGTCTAATAGTTTTCCATTTGAAACCATAAAAAAATATCTTTTTGGTTTCTCTCTTTTTTCAACAAAGTTTTTGTTTTAAAAACCACATGCCAGTTATTAGCACTCACACAAACATATCTTTCTTAACAAAATTTAATTTGAACGTAAAACAACAATGCGTCCTTATTGCGTCCTTGTAAGCTAAATGTCATAAAAATCAAAGCATTTTTCATAAAAAAAACATACATATACGTAAGTATGTATATTTATATTTAGAATTTATTCCGGTGACGTCGCATATTTAGTATATTTATTAAGCACTAACAATTTTTTTTTGCAATACAACTACTGCGCATCACAATGCTCCTTTTAACTTTGAGAAGGCATTGCACTTTTCATAATTTGTCCATTTTATATATACAAACATACATACATATGTACGCATACCCTTAAAAGTATTACTTACCCAAAAGAACTTATTTCAATACTTAATTTTGCACATGATAAAATCCATATTTTGTAAATTTTTTATGATGATCATTAGAGAAAAGGTGAACGTTTATTTTTAGCCAGCAAATTTAATGAAGCATTACATATACATATATATTTGTACTTTTATTCGAAAATCTTTTTGTATTCAGCAAATGTTTTCCATAATATAATTTTTAGTATTAAAAAAAGTATATAAGAAAAAAAAAATAATAATTATGTACTACCATTACTAACAATATTTATTGTGAAACAATAATAAGAATTCAATAAAATTTAAAACAAAAGTATACATGCATGTTTCGAAAATAAATACAAAGTGTAGTATTTTATTAGTGAGTTTTCGAAGGTTTGCAAGTTTTCGAGTGTGGAGCACAGCGCTCTGTCGAATTCCTCATTAGCCTTAAAGAGGAAGGTGCCTCTGGCCGAATGGTTAATGTTATCGAGTAGACTAAGGCTGGCAACACTACTCTGGTTGGAAATGGACTTAGTCGCCTAGCTCTGCCTCTAAGTCTTCATGATGAAACCTTCAATAACGGACTCAGGCTGATTGAATTCGTCCGATCCAGAGGCGAGATGGTCTGCAGCACTAGGTTCCAGGATAAAAAGGATACATCAGGTTACACGGTCGTTGACTTAAGTTAAAATTCGAAGAGCCACCAACACACGCAGACTGGGGGGGTGTATAACATAATCCAGACAATCAAAATCCAGACATTCAAAAAGCGGCCAGTCAAAATACAGACAAATCAAAATCCAGACAAATCAAAATACAGACAAATCAAAATACAGANTTAGAATGTTTCCTATTTAAAAAAGTGGCGGAAATTTTCAGTATATATTTAAATATTGTTTCGTTTTTTTTTGTTAAAGAAAGCGCCGCGATTTTTTATTCCAAATTTTCAGTATTTCTTAAAACATAATTTAATATAAAAAAACGTCGCAGGCGAAAATTTGGAATGAAAGCTAAACGGCGACGCCTGGAAAACTGAACATTTAAAACAATTGTTATGGAAAGGGAAAACTATGCTCCCAAAGAATACTTAGCCAATATAGCTAAGCATCTCAATTAATATAAGTTTTTGAATTTCTGGATTTTGATTGTCTGGATTATGTTATACACCCAGTTAATGATTGTTTGTAAATACTTACTAATTAAAATTTTTTTAATAAATTCCGGTACACTGAAATTGTTTTGATGAAGAAGGTTAGGGGTGGATTCGGGATTTTTTTAGAAAAGTATTCCCCAGTATTTTTCCCACAGTATTTATGCGCAGATCTCTCTGCGAGCCTAACTACGACTTAAGAGACACGATTTTGATTTGCAAAAATTTTATACCGACATTTTTTCCCCTCATGTCTGTATTTTGATTTGTCAGTATTTTGATTTGTCAGTATTTTGATTTGTCTGTATTTTGATTTGTCGGTATTTTGATTTGTCTGGATTTTGATTTGCCGGTATTTTGATTTGTCTGTATTTTGAAAATGCAGAATTTTAAATTTTGTCTTTATTTTGATATGTCTGGATTTTGAATTTCCGGATTATGAATGTAACCGGCGAAAGTTTCCTTAGCGGGAACTCTTTGCATAGATACCAATATGCATCCCTTGCAGTAAAGGTATACAAAGGAAAATTTTTTGGCGGACAACAAGGTGGCGCTGGGATGCTTCTTCGATAATACGGAAGACTCTCTAATGGACAATGGCGTTCGGCGCAAAGTGGTTGATGACACCAAATGCCGCTGGATAGCAAACGTTCTTAAATGCAAAACCATTACATCCACTTTACGGCAGGAAAGAGTCAGATTCTTAGCTACGAAATGTTCCTCGCAGGGGGAGTGAGCTCTGCTATGGTCCATCGTACTGCTCTACATTAGTGAAAATGGATTCGACGTTAAGGGCTATGCGAATGACATGGTCCGCCTGATCAGAAGTAGTTTCGAAGGCACTATCTCCAAACTCCTACAGAATGCTCTGAACATAGTCGTTTATTGGGGCAGTAAAAATGGGTTAAACGTTAACTCCAAGAAGACTAGCATAGTCATTTTCTCAAGGAAAAGGAAAAGGGACAAATTACTAGAACCACTCATTCAAGGAGAATAGATACACTTCTCCAGAGTGGTAAAATAACATAGAGTTATCCGTGATGACAAGCTCTCATGGAATCCGCATCTAGACAAAACTATTCAAGAGGTCAGGGTCTTCTTCCGGAAACTAAACATCCGTCTGGTAGGAGAAGGCCAAGCTCCGTAAGCTACAACGACTGGTAGGCGTGGACATCACTGTCGCGATGATAACAACACCAATCGCGGCTTTTGAGGTACCTCTTGACCTGCCTCCTCTACACATTGTTATCACGAAAGAAGCTTTACTGTTTACAGCAAGGCTTATCGCAGGGGTAAATGTAGAGAACAAGAAGCTTATACACTCTTTCACCCTCAGGGTTGTAGAACAAGAAGTTGGGCTGCGCAATAGCTTTGTGGACATGTGCCTTCCGAGATTTGACTACGCACAAAACTTCACGGTCCTCGATATATCCAGCACTAACCGCCAAACTAACATAAACGATTTTTTTTTTTTCAAAATCTTTTTGATGCATATATACATCCAGATTATCTATGAGCATTTCTGCATAGAACAAATGCGTGTGTACTCGAGAAATTTGGCGTGCAAAAATCTATGCCTGGAACAAGTCTCGAACTAGACTCGAAATCGTACCGACAAAGTTCTGAAGTAGACTTGAACTGGTCCGTAAATGGGCCTGAACTGGTCTACCTGAACTAGTACCGAAATGATCCAGTAAAAGTTGCAATCTAGACCCGAATTCGTCCCGAACTATTTCAACGAAGGGTGTTACTAGATAGCGGATTAGGGGTGCGTTCAGAAATGCATCAAGCCAAAGCATCAGAGTCTTTTATTTCTAAACTATAACTGATGGGAATGTTTTATTTGAGCAACTAAGTTTAAAATTAAATTCGGCTTTTAACCGTGGTGGCGCATATTTGACATTTCCATCAATTACAGTTTAGAAATAAAAGAGACTGATGCATTTCTGAACGCGCCCTAGATTTGTTTCAAAGATCAAAATTTTGAAAAAATGTCGCTGCTTAAAATGACCTCCTAAACTTTATGGTAGGACTACAATGGCGCTTAGTGTTATTGACTTCAAACAATTTTGCCGGGTCAATCACCTTTAAGCACATCAAAGCGCTTTCAATTACTTTCTACATTCACAAGCGGCCTTGCGTGCAAATTTTACATCACTTTCTTTTATTAAATAATAAATACAGAAATGTCAAGGACATCAATTTGCATTATTAGCAAAGAAAAGGAGGCGGACGTCGGAGCGCATTCACCGGCGAACATTTGCCGGCGAAAATATTTTACGATTTGTTTACAAACAATCTATTTGCAGGAGTTCGGCTTTTTTGGTCTCGGCACAAACCGACTAACGGTTGTAGACTCAAAATAAGAAGAAGCAGCAGCAATGCTTTCGGCGCGGTAAACAAACTTTCGCGTCTGATTTAACGGTGTGCTTGAAGGCGCGCCACTTCACTATGCCCTCTTCGTCGTTGTTTACCACTACGACTCTTCTCAAGTTTTCATTATTGCCAAGGCAAACACTTTTTCGCGCCAGTTTTGCGCTCATTGTGAAGGAAAGTGAAGCGTTGAAAGCGAATTTCAAACAAATGGGTCCTTTTGAAAAGTAATTTGCCTAGCAACCAGCCGTTGGTCGACTTGCTGTTAAATCAATGAGGTTTTTTCAGCTATTTCGAGCAGAAAGTTATGGAAAGTTTGTGTCGAAATTACTTTATTTTTCGAGACTAAAAGAGCTTAGCTTAATAAGTACTTAAAATGGAGTTAATAGAAACGTTGTATAACGCAGGAAATTTAGGACATCCAATCTAAATTGGACGCCACTTAGCTGGAACTACAAACATACAAATTCAACGATTCATCTACCGCAGCTTAAATATACATATGCCATTTTTAGACCACTAACGTCCTAAAGTGTGTGGTAGCTTTCCTTCCTTTATACTCCAACTTGATGTCCATTGTGAACTTGTTCCACCAACGTCGCTGCCATGGGGAATACGGAGAGCAATGTAACGAGTGGCGTCAAGAAACAAGCTGGCGTCTCCACACAAGCACTCTACAAATTTGTGAATCTCAAGGGTGGCGGTCTGTTGGTCGATATGATGAAACGCGCTTGTCAGACTAAGCAGTTCGCAGAAATCGATCATGCGATTAAGACGAAAGTCGAGCCATTTCTCTACAATAAGGGTGCCGGTCGCTATTTTCCCATCTCGAAGCTGGTGCTATTGCCGATGGAGAATCCCGATGAAGACTTCAATATACATGATCACTGCACTGAGGTGTCAGAGGCTGAATATATATCGAATCCGAGTGCATATCGGTTTGTGTGCTGGAATTTGAATGTGAGTTGCTTTGACGCTTTTCCTACTTTTAGTTTTCAGCTGATTAGAGGTTCCTAATTTTTGCAGGAACGCGGCGCTGTCGGTGAAACTGTCTTGCATCTCTGTCTGCTGAACGCCTCCTCGCTGCATGCCGATCTCGCCAAGCGCCTGCTCAAATGGTATCCCAAACTCATACTTGATGTGTATATGTGCGACGAATACTATGGCGAGAGCGTTTTGCATATCGCAATCGTCAACGAGGATCCAGCGATGGTGAAATATCTGCTCGATGCTGGCGCTGATGTGCAAGAGCGGTAAGTGGTTAAACTTTGAACTTTACTCTTTTCACTCGGCTCAAAATATCTACTCTCCACCGCTAAACATAGCTGCTGCGGCGCCTTTATGTCCGCGGAGGATCAGAAAGCCTCACGTTACGATTCACCTGATCACGAGTATGTCGGCGTGCAGCCGATAACCAACTATGATGGCTACGTCTATTGGGGCGAATACCCGATGAGCTTTGCCGCTTGTCTGTCGCAAGAGGACTGCTTTCGCTTGGTGCTGGCACGCGGCGCGGATCCAGATCTGCAGGATACCAATGGAAATACTTCACTGCATATGTTGGTGATCTATGAGAAGATCGAAATGTTCGATGTCTCCTACGAAGTGGGTACCAATATTCATCTAAGAAATATGCAAAATCTCACAGCGTTGACATTGGCGGCGAAATTGGGACGCGTTGAGATGTTCTTTCACATTTTGAGCATAGAACGTGAGATCTACTGGCAGTTGGGTAGCATCACTTGCGCGGCGTATCCGCTGTCCATGATCGACACGATCGATGTGGAGACGGGGAATATAAACAAGGACTCAGTGTTGAATTTTGTGGTGTTTGGCGTGAGTGAGCTCGTAGCGTTGTCCATTAGAGTATTAGCTTGCTGATTTTTTTTACACTTGCAGGACAAACTGGAACACTTAGAGCTGCTGGATGGCGTGGTGATCGATTTGTTGAAAACCAAATGGGAATCCTTTGTCAAGTCGCGTTTCTACAAACAATTCTATATGTTCTCTTTTTACTTTCTCTTCTCGTTAATCAGTTTCATATTACGTCCAGGGCCGTCCGAAAAAAGCGATGAGGCTGGCGATGAAGCCGAAGAAGTGTCAGTAATGCATGCCGGAAATGAAACGGCACCGTATCATGGCGGCAACAAATGGTTAAAGCGACTGATAAAGCGCGCGATTGACAAGATGGAGTATAGTGAGTAAAAAATAAGCTAACGACACTTGAAATCTTAACTGATTTCAGAAACTTTTGTAGAAACTTTTTGGCTGAACTTCACCGACTACTTTGACGATAACGACGTAGAGCTGGGTCCGTCTTGGTGGGCCAGTTATGCTGAGTGTCCGCTAATGAACATGGAATCCGACCTGGCTAAGGTATTGTCAATTGCAAAGCTGTAGGGATGCACCGAAAATTTAACTTCTCATTTCAGTTACGCATTGTCGCAGAAATCGTAATATTTTTCGGCTCGATTTTATACTTGCTAGCGGCGCTGCGTGAAGCGCGCTTTCTGGGCTACAAAATGTTTATTGAAAATATGGTAAGTTACTCGTTGATTTTCTATTTCTTCTACACACTCCTCATCAACACACAGATGACCGCACCTTCGCGTGTCATGTTTCTTTTCTCTTGTGCGCTCATGATGACCATACCCTGGCTGAGGTTATCCTGTTCAACCGAGATCGATGACCATGTTGCAGTCTTTATAATGCTCACCACAGCGCCTTACTTTCTATTCTTTTGTCGGTAAAGCTCCTCGTACTGCAATGAATTCGACCAACTTGTGTAATTCATCTTTCCACTGTTCTAGCGGCTTTAAAACCGTCGGCCCTTTCGTTGTGATGATCTATCGCATGGTCATGGGCGATCTCATACGATTCGTCTCCATCTACCTTGTGTTCGTGATGGGATTTTCGCAAGCCTACTACATTATCTTCCTTACATTTGATAATCCTGCCACTCCAGAGGAAATCGACGATTCTGAATCGAATCCAATGCCCTCGCCAATGGAATCTATTGTGGCTATGTTTTTGATGTCGCTCACCAATTTCGGCGACTACTTTGGCGGTATGGGCTCAACGCAGCATGAGTATGAAGCGAAATCACTTTTCTTTCTCTTCATGGTGATCGTCAGCGTGTTGCTGGTGAATATGTTGATTGCCATGATGGGCAACACTTATCAAAAGATCGCCGAGATACGCAACGAATGGCAGCGTCAGTGGGCGCGCATTGTGCTGGTAGTGGAACGTAGTGTACCGCCAGCTGAGCGGCTGAAGAATTTCATGCACTATAGTCAGCCTATGTCGGATGGTAGGCGCGCATTGGTGTTGCGGTTAAATATGAGCGTGAGTACTCAGATTTCTTTTTAAGTTTTAGTTTATCATAGATTCACTTGAAACTCTCAAATTTAACCTTTTTGTAGGACGAAGACAAAGAAGAGATGAAGGAAGTGCAGGAAATGAAACGTATACATCAACGCTTCTCCAAGAAACGTCAGGTTGAGCGAGAGGCGCGTGCGCATAAACGTCAGGAGGAGTATGAAAAGTTCTTTGGCACGAAACCAGCTGTGGATGGTGATAATAATAATATGTGCTGAAGAGGACTTCGATTGGTGGAGGTGGAGTTGTAAAGAAGAGAACTGTGTAGAATAAGTAGTTAATTATGCGACATGTCAAATAGCGATTTACGGGTTTGTAAAGGTCAATTGGTTCTAAGTACCTACATGTTTATACTAAAAGAAAATGCATTGAAATAATAAATTTATTGCAAACATTTTTGCGGAAGCTGCAATTTTGAAATAAAATTTGTCAATTTTGACTTTCTGTTCTCTAGTTAATCGGTTTTTTGGTCCTTTTTACTTTGTGCCGAATTTCTTTCCCCTTTAAGAGCAGGACTAAAGACTAAGGGAATTTTTNTAGTGAACTAGGTGTAGCTTTATCAAAATGTAGAATTGCTTAGTACTTTATACTTAAATTAAAAAAGAAAAACTATTTTTGCTGTACAAATGTCCCACCCGTGACGATGGAATACCCCATAAGTAAAATAATTTACTTCTAGACTTGGTCGAACTGAATAGGCGAATGCTTTAAATTGCCTTGCCTTGAAATAGCTTTTCTATGCGTCATCCGAAAATCGGAAGATTTCGCGAGGTTTAATGGAGTTTTCACAGTAGCTCCTTTGGTTGACAACTTTCCAGGGGTTTCTAATTGGATTGAGATATGATATTTGGGCCGGCTACATTAATATTTTGAAAATTTTTTTTATAGTAAGGCTAGTTAACTTAACGTGTTTTCGAGGTTTTTACCGCGGACAAAGAAATTGCATTCTTCGTCGGAGGTAAGGTCTCTGTGATCGTTACAAGACATGCCTACCTCACATACCTACCTCATCAAGAAACTTGTCGTAAATCGCAATTAAAAAAGTAAAAACAATGTAAAAGCATAATTTAAATTAGGTATGTGTACTTTATTTGTTTGTTTTTTTTCCTTCCTTTGCTATCACGCCTTCTTACATTGATGTTTTTTTATAAATTTCTGTATACCTACATACGTATAAGGGTGGTCCTCAAAATATCAACATTTAAATTTTGTATAGAACATCCACTTTATTTTGTTCTACGTACAAATAAAGACATCAACGAAAAGTTCAAATTCTCAAACAAATCTGTACCAGGGTTTAAACAATTTTAAATCAATAAAAAAAATCGCAAAAATTCGACAAGATTTAGACTTGAAATCTGATAAATTTTACATATTATTGAAACTTATTCATGACGTCAGTAGAAACGAATAAAGGCGTGAGCTCAAAAGGCGAAGAAAGACGGCGTCGACGGGGAAAAAGGACGCATTGACGAAAAAAGACGCATTAATCTAGTTAACGGCGAAGAAAGACGCGAACTGAGTTATAGCTGGTCAAAATATTTTTTTGGGAATTTTCGTGATTTAAAAAAATGTAACTTTTAAGAATTTTTAAAAATTCTACGAAGTTTTAACTTGAAAACTTATAAATATATATATATACATAATTTTGCCGGGTGAAAGTCCATTTTACGGTTAAAAAAAAACATTATTTTTTCCAATTTTTTTTTATTTTGGGATTTTCGTGGATGTCGCTATTTTGTACGCTAGCAAAATAATGTTGATATTTTAAGGGCCACCCTAATTGTATGTACATATGTAGCGTACGCAGGTAAATATATGTATGCTTTGCTTGTTAGAAGCAGCTTAAATATCTTTTGATTAATTCTACATCAAAATGTTAGTATCTATTCATATGTATATCGTAAAACTAGAACAATTTTATTTGAGTTTGAGCCTGCTTTTAATGAAATTTTGGTTTTCAATTGAAGACAACAACAAAAATATTTTGGAGATTATAGCATTTGTTCGTAAGACATCTTCGCAAGTTTAGCGACGTCTGATGGAAGAGAGACGATTTCTTCAAAAAAAAAAATATATATATATATGTATGTATAAAAACGGGCTTCAAGCTCAAATAAAATGGTTAATAAAAACGTTATTAGGTTAAAGAATAGCATAACAATAATTGGCAATTAAAATTAGAACTTTTATACATACATATACATATGTAGCTTTCAAATATAATATAGCTGCATAGTTAGAAAAAAATAAATAAATGAGGGTATTCAGACTATCCTCGTTAATGCATTAGTTCGTTATCTGGTAACTCGGTAACACTTTCAACTTCGAAGGCCCCTTATTCTTTTTCTGGTTAAAAGTACTTTCGAATCAGCTGACGTGAAGTTCTTTTATTTATAAACATTTATTAATTCCAAGACAGATACATTTATTGAACTTTTGATAAAATGTAGCACTTCTCGCGCAAGAAAATTCCAGAAAATAAGTGAAAGAAAGGAATCAGCTGACATTTTAACGCGTGTATTACAACACTATCAGAATTGCCACTTCGTTGAGTTGGTAATGATATATTCGGTAATTTACAAAAACAAAGCAATGGTGGGAGTTATCGAATACCGAATTGCGACCTTAACGAGTATAGTCTGAATACCCTTAATAACAAAACCCACAACAGGCTGCAGCCAAAATGCGCTCTGCAACTAACAGGCTAGCTGTGTCAGTTGCGTTCTCTAACAATAATGTAGCAGTTTACTTAATCCACAACACTGCCATTTAGCAGGTTACAATTTTGATCGCAACAACTGCGCCGCGCGATTCGGATTAACGTTGTCGTCTGTCTGTGCTATAACATTCCCTTACATAGATAGTTTAAAAGTTATTAATTTGGAACTGTAGTTAAGGTAGCTTTTGGAGGTACTTTGCTTCTACTTATTTTTTTTTTATATAAATAAAATTCATTTTAAAGTTTGTTTTGAAGTTACTTTGTTTCAAAATAATTTTCTTAATTATGTTTTACAGTATGCTCCGTTTAAATGACCATCGCATAAATGATTTTACCGCACATTTGACTAATAATTCGTTCAAGAAGTAAACTTCTCAATTAAGCGAGCACCGATATACTTTTACAATTGTAAATTTTTTCATGTATAAGTAAGCAGAGGTATGCATATTTTTATTTCACTTTGAGGCACTTATTTACATAAATAACCTCCCGAACTGAACAATACCAAAAATTTCTTATTTAAAAAAACAAAAAAACATGAAGCATATTTAGCTTTAAAATTTTACTAACTACTTTTTCATAACCGATAATTGCATATTCAATTTACAAAAAATAGCTAGTTTATGTGTTCGTAATCACATGGAGGACGTTTGGAAAAATAGTTAATAAAATTTTAGTGTCAAATTTGCATCATATATATATTGTTGGAAAATTTCTGCAGGGAAATATTTTTATTCGACCAAATAATATATATATTTAACGATTTTATAGCAATTCTACGAAGAAATTTATTTTCCCCATAAAAAATATATGGAAAATTTCAAAGCCCCGGCAGCGGAGTCTCCTTATTTTCCATTTTTTATTAATGTGAGGGGTGGCAGCAAGAAAATTCCAAAATGTTGATTTCCCCTGTATATTTTGGACCACCCTAATGTACATGGAATGTTAGTTACGGTTATTTATTTCAGTTTTAGTTGCAGTGTTTTTAAGTAAATCCTTTTTTATCTACTTGAATTTGTATCCTCCTTTTATTTTATTTATCCGTTATTGACCGTAAGCTGTGACTGATTTGGATATTTTTAAAGAAATAAAAAACATTAGTCGAAAAAGTTCAAAGATGTTTTAGTTAAGATTTTTTATAAATTTTTTATTTAATTTAAACTTTTCAGGATCATAAGCTTATATGGTGTAAGCACTTAAGTAAAAGTATACGTTTCAAATTGTAGAGTGTGGCTTTGGTGTCTTTTTTAATCCTTGGTAGAATATTAACAAAAAAATGTATTTTGCAAAATTTAATAATAACAGCATAACTCCTTGGGAAACCTATTTTCTTTAATACAATTGATACAATAAAAAAAATAACATGGTTTTAACTAACTACGCAATTAATGAAGAATTTGGGTTAGTACATTTTTATAGTTGGAGTTAATTTTTACAAGCTTTTTATTACAAAGCAAATTTCGAGTTCCAAAATTTTAATATTTTATGTATTCAGGGGAAGATGTAGTGGCTTGCTTACCTTCAACTGCTACATTTTTTTTTGTTTAGTTACTTCTTAAAGAACTCGAAACCGAAGAAATATAAAGAAGTACGCGGTTTTGAAATGCTCTAACCAATGACGAAATAACGAAAAAGATGTGTCTTTTAAAAAATGCCATGTGGAAACATATTAGGGGTATTCTCTGAGTCTTGCAAAGCCCTTGCACGGTGCACAGATTGCACGGATTGTACGGTAAAAACCGGTTTTCGTATGGGACAGCTTTGCAAACGGTGCAATCCGTGCACCTTGCAAGGGCTTTGCAAGACTCAGAGAATACCCCTATTTAGTATTTAGCCAAACTTTTGTCATTGTACTTTTCGTATCATTTAATGCGCAGTGGAAATCCGGCATTACATCATTATTGCGCCACTGATTCGGTGATAGTGGATTTCCACGAGCCACAAATTGCGCAATTTAAATGGCGACCATATCGCACACCGTCTTGAAAAGGGACACAACTCAAAAAGTAACATTTTTAAAAAAAGGGCGCGAAAAATGTACACAGAACTTTTATTTAACCTTTCAGCCAAAGCTGGTGCAAATTTTTGTTATAACATAATTCGCCTACAACTGTGTCCGAGTTTTTCAATAGTTTCATGGAAATCAATTCTAAGTTTTGGCTATTAAGCGTGGGGAAAAAACTATTTCCGATACCTTCAAAACCATTCCTTTAAAAATGTCCATCTCCTGGACGGTAGTCCACAAATGTAGACACCATACAACAGCGTGCAACAGTCAATTTTATCCACACAAAAATTAATAAATTCATCAAACTCGGAACAAAATATAGTAAAATTGCGTTTTTAGTTTTTCTCTCTGACGTAAGGACTTTGAAATTTTTTATAACTTTTTATGTCATACAACCAATTCGGAGAAGCCTCTCCGATTTTTTTTAATGTTTTTGTCTAGCCGATTTGATATATCGATTTATGAAAAAAGTACTATTTTTTTTTAAATACCTTTTGCCAAAATGGGCCGATTGGTACTTTTTAATTGGTCTCTTTGAAACTGCTGACCGGCTTTGTTAAAATATTATTTTTTTTTTTAACTGTGACCCTTTCCGCAACTTCTAGGCATAGTCTGACAAGGGTTTACGAATGAGCTTTTTTTCGAATTTTTAAACTAGAATTAATGCAATTCTAACAAATCTTGTCCAATTCATCTCAGATTAAGTCAAATCAAATGCATTTATCAAAATCATAAAAATACCACATTGCAAAGTAAGAAAAAATCATTGAATTTTACCAATCGATTACGCGAAAGTGATAAGCCGCGTGGCAATAGTTCCCACTGCAAATATGTAGAGAATTTATTCCTCTACACTGTGGTATATTTATCTTTTTGATTAATGTATTCGATTTGAAGCAGGCAAAGTTCTTGACGATGAATTGGACAATATTTGCTAGGTTTTCATGTATTTAAAAATTAAAAAACAATAACAATGGGCCATATGAATAAAAACTAAGCAATTGCTTTTTCTTAAAATTTCATACCTTTTACTTCAATTTTGTTTGAATAAATTGAGTAAAAGATCTGGAATTTTAAGAAAAAGCAATTGCTTATTTTTATTCATACGGCCCAATAATTAAATAATTGTATAATACTTTGACACTCAAAATGTCAATTCCTCTCTTTGGAAAAACTATAAATATTTATTCCTCCGCCGTCGGTCAGAATTGCTCAGAATAACGACAAGTCCATAATATGGCGTAAATAAGGTTTCGAAAATGCGCAATTTCGAGATTGTGAAAGCGCAGTGTAATGAGAAATCGATTTCTTTTAACCGGAATTCTGGCGGCTCTTAAGGAAGTGTCACACGATTGGTATATTTGTACATTTTTTCATATTGGGACGAACATTTTTTTTTTTGTAAAATACAGCGAACTTCAATTGAAAGATTTTAACAAATTGTCTTTCTTGATTGAGATAAAGAAAAATATTTTTGCATTCACACGTTTGGGATACGATTGCAAATGCAAAATGAAATTTACATTTGAGTAATAATTTGTTTTTGTTATTTTATGGCCTTATAACAAGCTTGAGGCCGTTTTTAATGAAAAACTTATTGTGGAAAAGCAACAATAATTTGAAAAAATGGTAGAAGTGATAGTTTTTTCGGAAATCAGCATATTTCCTCTTCAGACTTCTTTCGGTAAGAATAATTTTCTCGAAATAATTGTGTCGAAATTTCGAAGCATAATAGCCTCAACTTTAGTTAAAAAGATATGATGAGATTATAAATATTCTTTAAAAATTAAAAGAAAATAGATAAATTAATTTAATAATTTTTCGATACCAAATTGAAAAGTAGTTTTTAAACAAAACACGACCAACTTTAATGTTCATGTTAAACTTACGGTTAGTTTCTTAAAGATCCATTGATCGGAACTATGTAAACCAAATTGGTATGGAACGACCACTCTCGGTGCCATCTTTTCGATAAAAATTATTATCGAAAACGGTTGGAGTAGGTCAAAGCTATCAGGCAACATACATAAAAAAAAACTCCGACGAATTGATAACCTCCTTCTTGTTTTGAAGTCGGCTAGAAAATAATTATTCTTTCTAACCCCAGAAAAGTCGTGGCAAGTTCTCCGTACGAACTTCTATAAGAATTAGCTATTTTAGATCACCCATACAAAGTTTTGGGTGTTGTTTTACTTCAATATGTAATTTACACAGCGTCAAAATTTTTTTAATATTTTTGCCAGTCGAACGATCTATTTTAGTTTTTTGATCACTATATTCGAAATAAAAATTTGCTTCGATTTTTTCTCACTAACCTCAAGAAATCTTTTACAAATGTATAAAAATATTAAGTTTTGAGGTTAGAAAGAAAAATAAAGCATTGCAACTTTTTATTTCTGACATTCAATTCGAATTCAACGATCCAGAATATGTTGGAATTGTATAACCTGTTCTACATCAACACGACTAGTCAATCGTTATAGATATTAACTCGTTAAATCCGCATTTCAAGTCGGAACTTAAAAATTTACCAGCGTTTTCTTTGTAACCTCAAAAAATTAGCATTTCGGCAAGCTTTTAGAAATTTATTTGAAGTTATAAAGTAAAAATTGTGCCAACTTATGGTTCGAGATTTCTTGGTATCGTTCGTCGAACAAAAATTTGTTTTTGTGTAGCTGTCGTATGAGTTCTATAATGTTGTCAAGTATCTATGGTCAATAATAAATGTCCATAAGGCTACTTTTAAGTATCTCCCTAGCTACGAACGCATCTTCACACCTAACCGCCAATATTTGTACTTTTAAAAACAAAAAAAGTTTTTTTTTAAATATTTTTATTCTTATTTATTATTAAATTTTCGCCCAACAAAACTTGATGCCCGTGCCGTCGTACAGAGTCGTAACCGAGCATCTGCGCGCTATCTACTCACTTTTATTTACGAATATTATATGTACTTTTCTTAAAAATTATGCGCACTCCTTCCGGAAACAGCAGCATTTCTTTTAATATTTTCTAAAGTATTTAATTTTTTTTTGTGGCATAAAATAAAAACGTATAGATAATATAAGTATTTTTTCTTAATTTTTTCGTTAAATTTCTAACACAACGAATTTTACATTTATTTTGATGTATGAAACTGAGCCCTTTTTAAGACTTTCGTTTAGTGATGCTATGTAAACGCTTTGAAAATGTAGCTGCGTAGGTCGAGGAGGAGGAGGAGGAGGATGACCTCACGGCGCCGTTAGAGCTGCGCTGCTGTTTCAGTCATCATTTGCTCGACTCCGCCGCATCCTTTGATGACACCTCAGTTGTTGCACCCTCTCCAACCGCACCACTGGCCGTTTCTTCAGCCACTATCACCTCCCCAGCCGACTCACTGTTTTGTGTATTCGTCTCCGCGCTCTTTGCCTCACTACCGCCTGTTGTTGCCTCATTTACTTGCATGCCCTCTGGTGGCGGCAATGGTATGGGTGCTTGAATTTGTTTTGCATCAGCCGGCTCGGGCTCTGACTCGTTGGCTTTCGCCGCTGGTGCTTCTACAGCTGACTCTACTTTCTCTCTCGAGGCGCTCTTTCGCGTCACAGCCTCTTTAGTCGCTTCTGGTTCGCCCGCTGCTTCTGCTGCTTCTTGTGGCGCTGCATCATCTTCTGCCGACTGCTCAGCAGCCTTGGTGTTCTCGTTCGCTTTCGCCTCGAGCACATTGATCGAAGCCTGAATGCATTTGATGGCCTCCTTGCGCGCCAAGCGAATGCTGTCCTTGCCATTCGTGTCGATTGTATCTAGCTTCAGTAGATTGCGCGTCAGCATCTCATCGAGATAGGCGTACTCTTTGTCTTGGCGTGTGCCAGTGAACTTCTCAACCTTGCCCATGAGATCGAGCACATCGCGTTGAATGTCTTGAATTTTGCTGATCGAGTCCAGCGTGTGTGGAGTTTGTGGTGGCACGCCAGTGGGCTGCTGGGTAGCGCCTTGTTGCTGCGGCTGCTGCTGAGTATTGATTGGAGTGGGACGGTGTTGTTGCTGCTGTTGCGGCTGATGATGCTGCTGCTGTTGCTGGTGGTATTGTGGCTGTTGGTGCTGTGGTGGCACATGTGCTCTAGCCGTTGCGCTAGCTGTGGCCTGCGATTGACCAGGCGCAGCGTTCTGATTTGGTATTTCCTTGTGAGCGTTTATGATCGGTTCGGAACGACCCTCGACAAAGATCGGTATAGTGCGCACATAGCTGCCGCCTGGAGTTTGAGGCGGTGGTGGCGTCTGTTGTCGTTGCTGTGGGTGCGGCTGATGCTGTGGAGCATAATAAGCCTTATGCAGCTGCGGTTGCTGGGCGCCAGCTTGCACGTGTGGACTAGTTTGTGTGCCGAATTGTGAGTGACCGGCTTGGGGTGGCGGTGTTGGACGTTTACCGCCATTTACTGGTACCTGTTGTTGTTGCTGCTGTTCATGTGGTGGCGCTGAATGCGCGCGTGCTTCATGCTCTGACTCTAAGGCGGACTTGACGCCCATGTCGACTGTGTTGCGTAGACCATGCTGTTTTAGACTATCACCATGCTGCTGAGGTGCAGCGCTGTCAACTTCATCGCCGCCTGTACGCATTGCGGGATCTTCGGTTTGTATGGCAGCATCGCAGAGCTTCTTCGAAGGCGATTGCGGTCCGCCATTGGGCGGTGAAGCGGGCACATATGACTGATAGTAGGCTGTAGGGGGGACACCACCACCACTACCACCCTGTACTGGCACCTGTTGTGAATGCTGCGCGCTATGTTGCCGTGGCAATGTGGCGCTTTCCCCACGTCGGCTGTGACCAAAACCGTCGGGTATATACTGGCGGAATTCCGATGGCAGCCGATTGAAGAAGTCATCGTCACGACCCATATGATCGGCAGCACGCCTACGTCCTAGCGAATTGAATTGAGGGAAGCCAAAATCTGCTGATCGATCGAAGAAAGAAGAAAAAGCAAAGTCAGTATGCTTTCTGTGAGGGAGTGTGCGACAAATCTAAATGCTTACGTGAGTTGCCAAAGCTACCGAACGGATCATGATGCATGCGCCCGAGGCGGCTTCGTGGAAACATGTCCATGTCCATATTCATGTCCATGTCCGGTTCGAAACCAAAGCCCTGCTGTAAAGAAACAAAGCAGACGAAATTATTTTAGAAAATTGCTTGCAAGAGTTGAAAATTGCATGCAAGAAAGTTGATGTTCTAGAAATAACTTTAACATAATGCTAAGGATCTTCATCGAAATTGAACATCTTTACTGTTCAGATTTTTTCTTCGGATGAGTGCTTTTTACCTAATATCTGTATCCCATGACTCAGACTATTTCCAGAATAACGCAAATTTTCAAATGGAAGAGTAAATTTGTACCAGCTTGTCTAACCTAACCCTCCTACTCAGACCTTAAGTAAGATGTGCGATCTAGCTCAGGGAAACCAAAACTTTTCGATTCAGAAAAAAAAACTGCCGTAAGCCGGAAAAGATGAGAGCGCAGAGATCGTTGCGAGCTTGATAAGTCGTTGGTTCAATAGCAAGATCAAAGAAGATGAGGTTCTGCTAGTGAAATATAGAAATAAAGGTGTCAAAAAATAGAGCTCTGGAGCCGATAAAACCAAAGGAAAATATATCATTTTTATAAAATTTTCCTTTTGATGCAGAAATGCATCTAGATGCTCTAGGAATATTTCTGCATCAAAACGAAAATTAATAAAAAATGTCGCTTACGTTGTTTTGGGGGTTAGGGCTCGATATCGTCACCTGAAATGCAAAAAGACGTAACAATATCGTAACTGAATTGGAAAAGTCGTGACTAATATTTTTTTTTTTCATAAAATCAAAAACTGACTTTTGAATTTTTTATTAGTTACGACTTTTTGTATTTCAGCGACGATGTTTGTTAAGTCTTTTTGTATTTCAGGTGACGATATGTACATGCTTATGTGTAAGACAGAAAAAATCGAATTTTTCATGAAAATGGCGATATTTTTTTTTAGAATTTGCATCAAATTATTTTCTCAGGGTCATTGGGGTTCATTAAATTATTAACGAGCACAAAGTTACGCATAGCAGAGCTTGTCTAAAAATAAAAACATACGAATGTATACCGAAGAATGCACTTTACTAATTACGTTTTCATCAAATAATAAAGAAAAAATTACGCAAACACAAAATAATTTTGCTTTATTAAGCGTATCCAGCGACCACCTACAATTTGTTGTCACACATAAAGCCAGAAAACAAATTTTATGAGATAAAAACTCAAAGCAAGTAGCTATGTGTGTATGAATATATTCATATTTGTACATTAGGGTGCGTCACCCAAAATATATATTTGCCGTTTTTCCACCGGAATTATACTATCTTTATATTTAAAGACTACCGCCAATTTTTTTTTTAACGTTAAGATTTACGTGAGCTGGATCGATTTGAAAATAACTGCAAAAATCTATTTTTCTTTTGTACATACAAAAAATTAATTTTTAAAAGATTTTTTCCTCAACAGATCACCTCAGATAATAGAAGTGTTTAAGAACTGAAATGATAAAAAAAAAACATTTTTAAAAACTAATTTGATTTATAAAACTCTAAATTTTTTGAGGTATTTTTAAATCGGTCCAACTCACGGTAATCTTGATATTTTTAAGAAAAAGTTTGGCAGAAGTCCTATGGCCTTATTCATAAAAATTAAAATAGATTTAAAGAGCTTTATAAAGTGATATTTTCATACAAATTTTCTATTTATAAAGCAGTTAAAGTCGACTTTATTTTTTATGAATTTGGGTGTTAAAATATAGGTAATACATTTTAAAATTTCGACGACGCATCCTAATGTACAAACATAAGTATGTACATATGTACAGCGGCTGCCATAAATAAGTAAACAGACTAATATTTTGAACTCAAGTCCATATTTTTTCAAGTTTTATTTAGATAAACATAAAAGTCACGTATATATTTGAAAATACGGGATTTTAGCTACAATAAGAGCTGCATAACTTAAAATTAAAAAGTTGCTTCCACTAACTAATGGCGGTTTGAATAAAAAATACAAGAATTCAGTGTGTGAAAAATAAGTAAACACTTAAGTTAATGGCCGCAGTGACCGCCATTATTTCGCGACATTCTTGCTAAACGAGTCGGCATGGAAAGTACATATTTTCTACACATTTCTGGGGTAAAAGACGGCCAGATCTCCAAAATTAAATCCTTCAGTTCAGCCAGATTTCGAGGACCCCTTTCACTTACTTGAGCTTTCAGCCACGCCCACGCGTTTTCAATTGGTGACAAGTCAGGGCTTTGCGGAGGCCACTCCAAAGCATTAACATTAGCATCAGCTATATATTTTGTAACAATTTTGGCCTTGTGAATAGGTGCGTTGTCCTGTTGTAGAACGAAATCCTCTCCTATTAGACGCTTACCTTCAGGAATAATCACGTCTTTCAGCAAGTTAAGGTAAACTTGGGAATTAGTTTTGCCTTCGAGTACCACTATTTTGCCTACTCCATAAGCAGAAATGCATCCCCAAACCATCAAGCATTTATCGCCGGACTTAAGAGTAGGTTTTGTGCACTTGTAGGACAACGCTTCATCATGCTTGCGCCAAACATACATCTGGCCCCCACTATATTTCAATCGAATCATGGATTCATCCGTCCACAGTATTTTGTGCCAAAAACTTTCGGGCTTTAAGACATGATCTGAATAAAACTTCATCCTCTTTTGGAGATTTATTTTGCTTATGAACGGAATTTTCCGAATAACTCTCCCATGCTTTCCGTCTTCATGCAGCCTTCTGCGAATAGTGGAGAGAGATGGTGCTGTTTTACCTTCTGATACGAGCTTGGAGTAAATTTTCGGAGCAGAAAGCATTGGGTCTGCTGCTGACATGTTTTTTATTCGAGTATCTAGCTTTTTTGTAGTAATTTTCGGGCGTCCCTGGGAATATCTGCGATCAACGCGTCCATCGTTCTTGAAGGTTTTAATAACCTTGAATATTGCCGCCGATGTTTTATTAAAANGGTAGATATATATGTAAAATAGATTCACGAACATTCAGTGTCAATCATAATAATAAACACCTTTGATGAGTCATTGAAAAAATTTTGAGCGCATCTGGCTTGCAGTTACGCGGAGTAAATTTCAGAAGGTAATAAACAAATATGTAATAAAATAGTTTTTGAAAAAAAAAATAAAATAAAAAATAACAGCAATAATAAATAAACAACAATAAAAAATAGTAACATGATAATTAGGAACTCAAATAAGAATTAAAAACAAGCCGTAAAAAAAATATACTACGAATATTGAATTACTTTTCTGAATGCTAGACATTAACGTCTCAAATTACATAGATACTGTATACATATGTATGCCATCGTAATTTAGAAAAAAAAAATTATACGAAAAATAACAAAATTTAAATCCGTAATAAGTGACGTCATTTGCCTGGCGCGAAAACAATTATGTATTTGGCTGCAATTTAAAAAAAAAAAGATTATTTAAGACCGCCAAAATCCGGCAAAAGACAACAGCACTATTTGACAAAGTAAAAGAACTGGATTAAGTTGTGTGTATGTATGCACATTAGGATGACTCACAAAAAAAAATTGATGTTCTTCCACCGGAATTACATACAAAATTTATTATGATTGAAGACTTCAGCATAAATATTTTGGAAAAGTATTAGGACTTGAAATGATTTGAAAATACCTCCAAAAATCTCATTACTTTGATTCCGTTGATAAAATTTTTAAGCATTTTTATGCAGATCTTGTACGCTCAAGCTCTTCCGTCATCCGAGGTGATTTTTTGGGAAAAATCTTTATAAAAACTAATTTTGTTTATAAAAAGATAGATTTTTTGAAGTATTTTAAATTCGACCCAGCTTACATAAATCTTAATATTTGTCTGAAATATTTTTTTTCGTCTGTCTAGTATTGATTTTTTTGTTTGGAGAGTGGTGCACTCTAATGTACTTACATACATATGTGTTTATGCATGTGTGACTTTTGTACTTGTTCGTCCAAGCCGAATTTCTTAAACTGGCATTGCAAAGTGCGCGACCGGCAAGCAGGGTTGCCGTTTTGGGCTTTTACTACCAAAATTGGTAGGTTTTTTTTCTCGTTGGAAGGATGGTAGGACACTTAAAATTTTTGGTAGGTTTATTTGCTCATTAAGCTTAGTATCCAGCTCTTAAGAAAACGGTCAAGAAAAAATTGCCATTATTTCGCGTGTGTGTCCAACGAATTTTGACATTTTTGATAACGCACAGCCTGTTGCCTCACTCTTTCCTCAAGAAATAATGGAACGGGCATATATTTCTGTTGCAAACCTGGGTTGCCTTGTGCTCTTTTTTCACAAAAAACTTTAGAAAACCGTAGTAGAAAGCGTACTAAATTTCTGAAGAACTGCGTACTGCCTTAAGGAAATTTGACTCAAGAAAATTTCTTAGCCATTTCTTGTACGTCATTTTATATGGAGTTTTTGCTTTTCTTAAGAGCTGGATACTAAGCTTTAGACAGAAAAGGTCTCTGGTTTGTTGTAGCGCGTTTGAAAAATCTCGTTGCTTCCTGGTATGGGCAGAATTTTACCAATTACCTTCGGCAATTGATCTGAGAGACTGATCTTTTTGTTTACCTGGAAATCTTATTTTATATATAAAAACCAGCAAAAAAAATTATTTACTGCCGTCAAACGCCGTTTTCTTAAATGGTAGGAAAGAAGCCATTTTGGTAGGTTTTTGAACCAGCTCTTGGAAAGAAAGTTTCTCAGTGGTAACCCTGTCGGCAAGTATGGTCATTGCCGTCCATATACATACATATGTAGGTATGTATGTATATAATTTTGCACATGGGCAGGACAATACACACAGGTAGATTGCTGGATTTTCAGTGGGATATCCAAAATATTTGAGTTTTTGGCAATTGACCACAAATGTTTATACATTTTCCCCAGTTTTGTTGTAGTATGACTAACTGCATATTTTAGGCGAATATTAAACAAATTATTTAATTTTTTATTTTAAGTCATAGCTCTTACGAAAATATTTATGTACGTATTTTAGAAATTTAAATTCCATTGAATTTATTCTACAAAGTATCTCACTTATTTAGCCAAAAATGTCAGACGATTTGCCTTTTATGAGATACGTATGTATGTATGTATATCAGTTTAATTGAGTTAATGGATTCATAAAGACGCGAGCTGCATAAGAATTTCACAAATGTCGGAGAAAAAATTTTAAATGCAAAATAAATAACTTGAGTGGCGAGGAAAATTTATTATATTAAGGAAATTAGTTCGGTTTATGTAGATTGGGGGAACGTGATCAGGAGGACAGCAAGCCTGTGCAGTCTATATGTATGTACATGTATAAACATATTAGACCGTACCACCTTATAAGCAAACAAAAAAGTTCGCAGCACAGCCCTAGAGCTAGAGCAGCGATGGGTAGAGAGAGCTTTTACTCTGCACGCGCCCATCACCGCCCTAGAGTCTAAAGTATTTTTACAAGGCAATATCGAAACAAAATATTTTTTCAGTCGTGTAGGGGGGGCGGGTCTTTTTTTGTTTGCTTGCAAGGTGGTGCGGTTTAATGTATGTCCATTAATNATAGAGTCTAAAGTATTTTTACAAGGCAATATCGAAACAAAATATTTTTTCAGTCGCGTAGGGGGGACTTTTTTTGTTTGCTTGCAAGGTGGTGCGGTTTAATGTATGTCCATTAATGTACTATAGGTAATGTATGTATGTATTTACATATGTATGTATATCACTGAATACCACTCATGATTTTCAAGCTTGTACACTTTTTAACGTAACCACAATTTCTCATGTACATACTGTTTTTTTAATATCCAAACTTAAATTTAGTGCATTGCCAATTTTAAATGTTTAGTGCGTCAATGATTATTTCGAAGCCGCACAAAAGAAAAATTGTTGCAAAAAGAAAAAATAAACACTAAAAAATCTGCCAGCACACATACTTAACACTTATTTAAGCGTGAGGCAGTTTTTTATATTTATACTGCGGGAAAATTTATTTATATGAGTTGCGCATTCTCACACAAGTACCACAGAGCAAACCTTTTTTGATACCACTTTTGAGTTAGTAATGTTGTTTACATAAAATTTTAAATTTTCTATAAATAGCTTATTTCACGATTTTCCAAAATGTGTNACAGTTTTTTATATTTATACTGTGGGAAAAATTTATTTGTATGAGTTGCGGTAATTCTCACACAAGTACCACAGAGCAAACCTTTTTTGATACCACTTTTGAGTTAGTAATGTTGTTTACATACAATTTTAAATTTTCTATAAATAGCTTATTTCACGATTTTCCAAAATGTGTGCACGAAAATTTTGTACATATTTGTTTTGCGAGATTTTTCATGAAATTTTAACTACAGCCTTTTAGTATTTTTGTTTTGATTTAAGTTGCAAACTTAGCAAACTTTAACAAAATTTTAAGATTTTGAAGTGCTTTTTTGCAAAATTTTTTTAATAATATTATTTTGTCTAAATATTCAATATTTTTTATTTCGATATTAAAAATTTTACGAAAGGATTTAGTTTTTACTATTTTTCTATGATTATTTTAATAATTTTGAACGAATAATTTTTATAAAATTTTTAACGCAATAGTTTTATAAAATATGTCACAAATTTTAGTTCTTAACCATCTTGGTTTTTTAAAATTTTTAACTAACAATTTTTACTGAATTTTAAGTTGATTTTTTTTATAAGCTTGAACAAAATATTCTATAATNGTTTGTTAGTTCTTAACCATCTTGGTTTTTTAAAATTTTTAACTAACAATTTTTAATGAATTTTAAGTTGATTTTTTTTATAAGCTTGAACAAAATATTCTATAATATTTTAAAGGAAATGTGATAGTACATTTTAATGAACATCTTGGGACAAATTTAAAATATTTTAAATGTAATAATTCAAATTTTTTTTAGACTTTTTATGTATTTTTTACGAAAGTTTCGTGAATAAGCTGTCGTATTTTTTAGCGACATTTTTCTGATTATAGTATAAAAATATTTGGATTAGTTTCTAAATTATTTTTATTTTAACGAAAGTTCTCTAATAAATTTATAACTAATGTTTATTAAATTTTTAACAAAAAATTTGTTTAAATTTTTAACGAAATATTTTTATTAAATTTTAAACGAAATTTTTAAATTATTTTTCACATTAATTTTCAACGAAATTTTTAAGGATGTTTTCTTTTTAATTGTTAAACATTTTGATTTTTCATATGTAAATATTTAACAGACATTTTTTTATTAATTTTAAATTAAAATTGTTTGCAAGCTGCAAACAAGAATATTCTGTAACATTTTAAAGGAAATAAAAGTAAATTTTTGCTCGAAACTTTTTTTAGTTTCTTTACTTTCAAGTACAAACAAATCATATGTAAGTACATATGTACCATTTTGAATTTCGACCATTTCGTTATGTGCGTGTACAGTGAAATTTAGTTAACTAAAAATCAGACTTTTGCCGCTGCCTTTATTTTATACTTTAAAGGCTACCGCGGTAAGTTAAGTGTATATGTTCATAAAAGGCTAGCACAAGTAACCAAAAATGGTTAGTANGGTAGGTGTAGTGTATATGTTCATAAAAGGCTAGCACAAGTAACCAAAAATGGTTAGTACAAAAATCTGGGTAAGTTAACTTATTTTGGTAGTTTTCGCTTTTTAGCCACTTTTCGTTATTTTCTTTGTTCGTTATTTTTTTGTTGCTCGCTGTTTTTTTTTCAAAAAAAAAGGTCACTAAAGCACTGCATTTATTGCTGTTTTGGCTTACTCTAATAATAAAATTTGTAAAAAGAAACAATAATTTACTTGTAGATACACTTGTTCTTCACTGCTTTACTCTCTGCTATATGTATGTAGTGTTGTTTTGTCTTATGCAGTCTTTCGAATTACTTGTTTTAAAAATTCACCATATNTGTAACATTTTAAAGGAAATAAAAGTAAATTTTTGCTCGAAACTTTTTTTAGTTTCTTTACTTTCAAGTACAAACAAATCATATGTAAGTAGTTACATATGTACCATTTTGAATTTCGACCATTTCGTTATGTGCGTGTACAGTGAAATTTAGTTAACTAAAAATCAGACTTTTGCCGCTGCCTTTATTTTATACTTTAAAGGCTACGGTAGGTGTAGTGTATATGTTCATAAAAGGCTAGCACAAGTAACCAAAAATGGTTAGTACAAAAATCTGGGTAAGTTAACTTATTTTGGTAGTTTTCGCTTTTTAGCCACTTTTCGTTATTTTCTTTGTTCGTTATTTTTTTGTTGCTCGCTGTTTTTTTTCAAAAAAAAAGGTCACTAAAGCACTGCATTTATTGCTGTTTTGGCTTACTCTAATAATAAAATTTGTAAAAAGAAACAATAATTTACTTGTAGATACACTTGTTCTTCACTGCTTTACTCTCTGCTATATGTATGTAGTGTTGTTTTGTCTTATGCAGTCTTTCGAATTACTTGTTTTAAAAATTCACCATATTTTTTTTTTAATTTAGTCAATTAATTGTTTTTGCACTATAAATAAAATAAAAATTTCTCGCCTCTTTTCGTTTTTATTACGCTCGTTGCGAACGCGTTCACGTCTTAAATTNATATATATAAAACTTTTTTTTTAATTTTGTCAATTAATTGTTTTTGCACTATTTTTTGCTCTATAAATAAAATAAAAATTTCTCGTCTCTTTTCGTTTTTATTACGCTCGTTGCGAACGCGTTCACGTCTTAAATTCAACTGTTTGTGCTGTCGCCAAATGGCATAGCTTTTATAGAGACGCCCGCGCATAAATGTGGGCTATACAAATACATATAACGCTAACATACATACATATGTACATACACTCAATTTGTATGTGTTGCGGTTGGTTGTGTGCCGCGTTGGCGTTTCTTTTTCTCGAAGTTCTACGTAGCTTCTACGCTCTTCTCGAAAGGCAGAACAGGCAGACCAGCCGACACTGATTGCATGGAGGGTATTGATTTTTCTTTACAATTTTCTTTTAAATAATGCATGAATTTTTTGCGTTTGCTTTTGCAGGTTGTTTTTATTTTACATTTCTTTTTGCAATGTTTTTTATTTTTGCTGCTGCTGAGTACGGAGGATTTCCATAATAATTAAGAGGAAAATGCGAAATAAGAATAACAAAAATTATATGAGCAATAGAAAAAAGAAGGCTAAAGCAAATAAGCAAAAGTGTAAGGTAATTTTTAATATTGCAAAGAAAATAACACTTTAGCATTTAGTACGGGGTTTTGTGCATTATAAACCTGAATACATATGTATGTATGTATGTAAATATAATTGCAAACATAAATCTAGCCANAATTTCTTTTTGCAATGTTTTTTTATTTTTGCTGCTGCTGAGTACGGAGGATTTCCATAATAGTTATGAGGAAAATGTGAAATAAGAATAACAAAAATTATATGAGCAATAGAAAAAAGAAGGCTAAAGCAAATAAGCAAAAGTGTTAGGTAATTTTTAATATTGCAAAGAAAATAACACTTTAGCATTTAGTACGGAGTTTTGTGCATTATAAACCTAAGTACATATGTATGTATGTATGTAAATATAATTGCAAACATAAATCTAGCCAGTATTAGCTAAACGCTTAAACGTATACTTAGCCGAGTTAAATGAGTATTGGAATTTTAAATCTGAACTTAGCTCTAGCTAATGATAATACAGATTCATTAGATCAGATCGATCCCCATGCAAATGAAACAATTTTTAATACCCATCCCAGTTTGAATGCTTACTTCGGGAGGAAATTAGTGTGTGTGAAAGTTTGGCCCTAGAAACAGCTAAATCATTTTAATCTCCATAGTGATGTTTTAGGGACTTTAGGGCTTTCTGAACTTCTCAAGAAAAACGAAAAATGCATATAAGATGACGCAAAAGAAATGAAAAAGGATTTTTCTTCTATCAAAATATCCTAACTTAGTATGCAGCTCTCAAGAAAAAATGCTCGTAAATTAATTTCTTCAAGAAAATTTACAGCAACAGCAAAGTAAAAATTTCAAGCAACAGAAATAATGAAAGAATATTTCTTTTGATATTTCTTGACTACTGCAGACAGACCTTTTCGGCCGGGTGGAAATTTATGACTTTTATACTAATTCCAAATACGTTAAATTTTTTACGACCCAGCTTAATGCACGTAGCACATTCATTCTCTCTTATCCAAGGTGTATTCAAGAGGTGATAGCAGTACTCTTTTATTTTTCTTCGCCTCACGGCTTCATATGTCAATTGGCTGCTGTTGATTGGTTGGAGCTGTTGATTGTTTATCGTTTTCTGTTCTCTTTCACATCCGTCGTATGAAATTTTTGACAGTCCTCACCGCAAAAGCAACAACAAAACACATGTAAATTTTGTTATTGTCGTACCGATACCATCTTATTGAATACGCCTTGCATCTTATCAATGTGGCTTTTTTGTTTGCCGGGTTTTTGTATTTTCCTTCTTTCTCTGCTCATTCTTCCCATGAAATATTTTTTTCTAAACAATTTCTAATCTACTTTCAATACTACTAAATACAAATTTACATATTTGTATGTACATATTTAAGTAGATTATACCGTACCTCCTAGAGTCTTTTTAGACGATGACTTTCACCCTGCACTTTTTTTATCTTTTAAAAAAGTCTTCGAAAATCTTCCTGCGTTTGTACGACGACTTTTTGTCAGCATAAGGTAAAAATACGAAAAAGTGAGTTCGATAAAAGAGAAACGTAAAAAAACCCTCGCTGCCCGTGCGTGCATGCCTACCCCGTTGAATTCTCTACACTTTTGCCTACAAGCTGGACACGCATGAATTTCGTCATCGTATAAATTCGCACTCACAAGCAAACAAAAAAAAGTTCGCCATACGCCCCTCAGTCTGAAGTATTTAAGCAACTGAGTAATGTGCTTCTCGCGAAGAGCTGTTCTGCCAGTTTCTTATATAATAGGTAACCATAAGCTGGAACAGGTATACAATTTTGTGGACCTTGGTATCACAATGGATCCTAAGCTTAATTTTAATCTTCACATTAATGTGACAGTCAACAAGGCTAAAGGTGTACTTGCATTTGTGAAACGATGGTCAAAAGAATTTAGTGACCCTTATATCACTAAAACCCTGTTTACAACATTAGTTAGACCGATTCTGGAATACGGCTCGGTGGTTTGGAATCCAAGGTATCAAATTTACTCAGACAAGATAGAATCAATTCAAAAACAATTCCTACTTTTTGCTTTAAGAAATTTCCGATGGGATTCTCAATATAGTCTTCCACCTTATACGAGTCGCTTAAAACTTATTAACCTTCCTACACTTGCCAGTCGCAGGGAAATGCTTGGTATAATTTTTATGGTTAAATTACTGACAGGCTCAATTTCAAGTCCGTCTCTTCTGGCTGATGTAAGCTTTAATGTTCCCTCACGCGTATCAAGACACTTTTGTCCCATATTTCTGAAAGCTTGTAAAACCAATTTTGAATTGCACGACCCACTCCGTTGCTTATGCCAGGATTTTAACTCTCATTCCAGCACGTTTGATATATCAGATCCGCTTTTCAGCATTAAGAAAGCGATACTCTCCTCTCTCAATAAGTGAATTATTGACATAAATACATAAAATCAGCTGATGAATTTAGTTCTGTAGCTGAACAGTTTTAGATCTCGACACTTAACAAACTCCTGCCTATCGTGACTCGGCACAAAAATTTAAAATATTGGTTCCGTACGTCATGCGGACTGCGCCCCTCGTGCGGATGGGCGGGAATGGAGGGTAAAAACCGTTGGGATATTATTATTATTATTATTAACTTCGAAAAAAAAATATGTTTGGCCTGACACTGAAATGGCTTCTAGGAGCTTCTTCTCTGCCCATCTTCCCCCAAGAAGGGATTGAGTCTGGCGGAACATCTAGGGGACGGAGCAGTGAACTTATTCACGAATGGATCGGAACTGGGCACGGGTCATCTGTTGAGAGCTTTCTATCAGCACTATGTTCAGGCTTCCGGACTGCTGCATTGTGTTGTGGCTCATTTGGTTTCTGGGCCACAGCCACATTGCGGTGAACTGTGTGGCTGACGAATTCGCTAGAAAAGATAGCCATGAAACTTTATCGCCGAATAAAGAGCCACTGGGATGACATTGATCACATGTGTTACACTCTTAGATAGTTGGGCCGCATGTATGCTCAGCGAGCGCTGGGCGCTGCAAGGTCCTTCTTGCTGAGGGTGGGCAAGAGGCGGTCGAGGACTCTCCGCACACTTACAAAGCCACAGCTCTATTTTTTGGTGGAGGTTTTAACGTGTCGCTGTCCAATCGGTATTCACGCTGTTAGGCTGAATATATTACCTGATCCAGTATGCCGCTATTAGCTTCTTCGTAGCCCAACTTTTGCGAGGCTAAGGTTGAATTACTTTGGCTCTCACATCCCTCATTGCCCCAAGCAGCTCTGTGGTATTGAGATTACCCAAATTCGTAATTGCATAATCGGCTCGAGGCGTTTTATCGATTAAGTACTAGGTGACATTCAGACTGTAGTATCACAAAGGCCAGTCTCATAATTTTCTGATTGGGTCCCTGACATATGGGACTGCCAGAAAATCTAACCTAATCTAACCCGCAATAGCTTGCAAAATTTAGTTTAAAGACGAACCGATTATGGTATTTTAAGTGCCATTTTTCTATCTGAATAGTTCGTGTTTTCCGTCTGGAGATATGGACGTTGCCTAGAGAAGAACTACATATTCGATGGCCCCATTGGTGTGAGCGAAGGGTATCGAAGATTCGTAGTCTCGGCCTAACCCGATAAACGATTGTAGTGACTTATAGGAGGAACAACTGGCGAATTTGTTTTTGAAATTTTGTCACTCAATTAATGCTTCGATTTAAGCCAGCCTAAAGAGAAAATATGCGTTTATTAGAAAAACGTGTTTTTATAGAAAATTTTGTTTCTTTATTCGCTATTTGTGTTTATATGTGCATACGTACGTACTTATGTAAATGTTTCAAATATGTATCTGAGTGCTCACTCATAGAACCACTCCAAAATGTGCCTGTAAGAACTCACGCCTCACTGACGATTTTTTCACTCTGGTGCACTTATGGAAATTAAGATGCCAAGTTGGAAATACATACACAATACATACAAGCCTACCTACATTCAAACCGTCAGCCGTTTGGCAGCAATGATGCAAATGTTTTGAAAAATTAGTAGGCCATAGACAGACGACAGACGACGCCTTCGTTTAACACACACCCAAGTAATTGGGGCATTTGATATAGAAAAATGATGGAAATGCATATGAATATTTTGTATTTATGGAAGTGAGGTTGTATGGACAGTAGGGTGGACAAAACATGAGGAGAATCGGAATTTTAATGATTTCACCCCCTAGGATGGTTCTGTACCGAAAAAATATCCCCCTGTTTTTTTTTTTTATATTGGAATCAAAAAATATTTAGAGCTCGCTCGAAGTTCCCACGTATTTTAATAATATAATAATAGTTTGGCGCTTACACATATGTTAGCGTTT